CTCTCTCTCTCTCTCGTCTCTCGTCTCTCTCTCTCTCTCTCTCTCTCTCTCTCTCTCTCTCTCTCTCTCTCTCTCTCTCTCTCTCTCTCTCTCTCTCTCTCTCTCTCTCTCTCTCTCTCTCTCTCTCTCTCTCTCTCTCTCTCGCTCCCGTTCTCATGCCTGCCTCGAAGCACATTATATAATCAACCAAATTACATTGCCTTTGAGAGACAAAGGCTCCACCCCAAGCCCTACATATACTCGTCCACCACATCATCGGCCTCCCTTTCCTATATTTCTTCTTCTTCTTAATTTTGTTCTTTATTTCCTCCTCTTCCTCCTCCTCCTCCTACACCACCACCAGGACCTCCTCTCCCGCTCCTCATCTTCTACACCTTCTTCGCTTCTTCTTTCCCTTCTTACTAATTACATGCTGACAGATTTTCAGTTTTATATAAAGAAAAATTATATTCGGCCTAGTTTTACAAACGAAGCACCTGTTCAGGGGTCAAGCGACATGCCAGTTGACACGCCCACCGTAGCTAGCGGCGGGGGGGGGGGCTAAGGGCAGTTGCCCCAGAGAAATGTAAAACCACCTCCTCGGCAAAATGGGTTAGCTACGCACCCCAATTGTGTAGTTTAGTTTATGTTCGATATTGATTTTTATAATGAAACGCTGACCGACTATTACTTTAGCTTATTGCGTGCTATATAGGTCTTACGCAATTCTTGCATATACTTCGACACTTTCGAGCTGATAAGTAAACCATGTTATGCCAGTTATCTAAACAGAGCACTCGAGACGTAGCGTGTAATCCAAAATATACGATATTGTAAGGTGTTATTGTAAGGTGTAAGGTGTGATATTGATTAATAAGATATTTCGAATTGAAATTGTTTAAACTTAAGAAGGAAAAATCCAATTTCAGCTCCGACGATATAATAGAACTGTCTAGTAGATTGTATAACAACTTGAATGATCACTACAAACGTTTTGTTACAGTCCTCTATATGTGACTATATAAAATACAAACCCTCTAAGTCTCTAACAGTTCACCTCTTTACTACGTGGTGCAAATGGAATGTTTTTAAAATGCATGTTTGCCAATTAATGTTTGCAAATGTATTTACAGACAGCTATAACTGTAAAGCGTACTGTAAGATGTGGCAGTGAACGATGAAAGTCAGGTCGTTCCACACAATGCGATAAACCCACAAGGTATAAACATCGAAAACCGTCAAGTTTCTGCTAATTTTCAATAATATTTATTGCTATAACAATTACGTATAAAGAAACTTCAAATTTCTACAATTCCCTATAGGCTCGTTGAAGTCCAGTGTTCCTTTAAAACTGTAATAACGCCAGTTGTGTCAGGCAAACTTGTGAACATCTCGCTATTGTTCCGCCTTCGAAATCTATAACGTTAGCATCTATGGCGGAGTAAACTAG